CTCCCCTGAGCAGCTCTGGGTTTGCAAAGCTGATGGGAATTATGGCTCCTTCTGGTCACAACGGGGAGGCTGGGGGTGGGGGGGGGGGGTGACCTACCTGGCCTTTGGAGGGCGTGAAGGCTTCATCCTCCTCCTCCCCTTCACTGCCCAGGACCCGGGCCGCCTTCCGCCCTGGCCTCTTCACTGGAGAATCGAGCTCAGGCACCTCTCCGTTCCGTTCCTTCAGTGCCGCCCTGGGAGGTGGGAGAATGGAGGTGTCCCAGCAGGCAGAGGGGGGATGCTGCCCTGAACGCTCCAGCTCCTTCCCTACGTTTCATTCCCTCCCTTCCCTTTCAAGCATTTAACAGGCTTTTGCTAGGGGCCTCCTTGGCATACGCTCTTAATTATCCATCCATCCACCACATCCTACGTGCCCACCTCCTCTGCGATGAGCAAGGCTGAGGAGCGGATGGGAGTCCCCACTGAGGGCAGAGAATGGCCTCTCTTCTTCAGTCATACAATCCCCTGAGATTTAGCAAGTCTGTGGCCCCTCGGCTAGAGGCTGCACTTCCCAGCACCCCCTGTAGCTAGGTGTGGCCCTGTGTTGGGTTCTGATCAATAGGATGTAAGAGGTCTAACCGATGCATGCAGCTCACTCCCCAATGCTAGTCCTCACATTGTCTGACTCCTGGGGCTCAGACTTGCCCATGGCTTTAACAATTCCGAGGCCCTTGATCCAGCTATGCCTGAAGCTGGGCCTACCTTTGGACTTTCCAGTTACCAGAGTCAAAAAAATCCCCTTTAAGGCTCCAAGATGCTCTGAGCTGGGTTTGGGACACTTACAGCCAGCCAAGAGACCCTGGTTTACAGAGGAACAAATTCACCACCTCCCAGCCCAGGCACATACTTTGGAGGTGGCTCTGTCTCTCTGTTGGAGGTCTCCTTCTCTGGCTTTTTCGCTTTGCCCTCCTTCTTGGGGTGGAAAAATGACCTGCAGAAGCACAGGAGGAGAGGAGGACAGGAATGATACCAGCACAAATGACTCCAATGGGTGCCCGGTTCTAGAGTTTCCGACATACACTGCCATCCCAGGATGCAACAGCTCCCTTCGTAAGGAAAGTGGAGCTCAGCCAGGGGAGGCGGGGCTCAGCCAGGGGAGGCGGGGCTCAGCCAGGGGAGGAGGGGCTCAGCCAGGGGAGGCAGAGGCACTCCGCTCCTGTTTCCCATCCTGACGCACCCAATGACACATTCCCAACTTTCCCTCAACAAATACCAGCTAAGCGCCTCCTAGGTGTCAGGGCCTGGCTGAGGCCCCAGGGATCCGGTGGAGACCCAGACAGAGCCTCCACCCCCGGGGGGTCGACACTCAGTGGAAGAGGCAGATGGATATTAAGTCACTAAATAGAACACGTCGGAAGGCATTGCAGGGCTCTGGAAAAGGCCAATCAGGCCAGGCGTGCTCTCCCCACCTGAGACAGGCTGACCCGAGCGGCTGGCTTCAAGATACCCGAGTCCTGAGGAGGGATGGTGGGAACCTAATAACGCGGACACCTTGCCCCACACTCTCCTGACCCAGTGACGAAGGCCAGCGTCACAGGGGATGTCCTAGGGAGGCCGCGTGCCCCCTACTACAAGGTGATGCCAGGGTACTTCCCTTCACTGCCTGGGGACCCGGTGACAGCAACGTCGGACAAAGTTGGGGACCGTTGGCAGGCATCCTGACAAGCAAAGCCTGAGAAACAGTCACCCGCGGTGACAGAGGGAAGGGAGGAGGCACGGCAACTAAAGGCAGCCTGGGACTCCCAACTGCATCGTGGACCAGAAAAGAGCATTAACAGATAAAGTGGTGAGATCCGAACACGCGGGGAGTGTAGTTAATGGTAACGTCCCAATGCTGACTCCTCGCAGTGGCCGATGGACCATGGTCACATGAGATGTCAACAGTGGAAACCGGGTGCGCCCGATGCAGGAACGGTCTCTACCATCTGCACAGCTTTCCTGTACACCTGAAACCATTCCAGGGCCACCTGGGTGGCGCAGTCGGTGAAGCGGCCGACTTCGGCTCAGGTCGTGATCTCACGGGTTCGTGGATTCAAGCCCTGCATCAGGCTCCATGCTGAAAGCTCGGAGCCTGGAGACTGCCTCAGATTCTGTGTCTCCCTCTCCCTCTCCCTCTCTCTCTCTGCCCCTCCCCAGCTTGTGTTCTCTCTCTCTCTCTCAAAACTAAATAAACATTAAAAAGAAAACCATTCCGGAATGACTTACTTTACAGTCAGCCAATCGATCAGCCAATCCAGCCGAGAAAGCCATCAGTGGTGCTATCGGCCCAGGACAGACTAGGCCCAGATTCGCCATCACGTGAGACGAACGGAGCCTGTGATCTGGGACCTCCCAGGTCTCTGGGGTGGGGGTCCAGGTCTGAGTCAGCCTAGACTCCATCCCCTCCAACTGGGACGCCCCCTCGGGTTCCCAGGGAAAGAGTTCTGGCTCCCGGGTCCAGCCAAGCTTGAGACCATTAATCCCGGGAGGGTTCAACTCCACAAGCCGAGGGATTCCCTCTCTCAGCTCCCTGAGGCCACCCTGCATCAGGTCGGGGTCTCCCAACCTGGGCGCTACCGATGTTCCAGGCCGCCCATTCTTGGGGGGGGGGGGTGTGGGGGCCTGCCCTGTGCACTGTAGTTCAGCACTGTGCTCGGCCCTTATCCAGGAGATGCTAATAAGAACCCCCCCTCTGCCCCCCCACCAGTTACGACAACCAAAAATGTCTCAGACACTGCCCGATGTTCCCTGGGGCGCCGAGCCACCGAATGCAAGCCACTGGGGCGGCGTTTCTGAACCCATGGCTAAAACCTCTTGGTTAACACCCTGCCTGTCCTTCGTGTCACACTACATGTTTTCTGTACTGACTCCTGCAAATTCCAACTTGGAGACTAACTTGTGTTCTTCCGAGAAAAGGCACAGAAAGGGAGAGAGAGAAGCAGAGAACCTCAGAGAGTGTGGGACGGAGGGGCAGGGTCCTTACATGATACTCCGCTGCATGGTGGCGTCAGAATGCTCCCTTCCCTCTCTCTTCCGTCTCTTCTCCACCCCGCTGGTCCTGAAACAGAAAGCCAAACCCTTGGTGAGAATATGGGTTATGCAGACACCAAAACACACGGCCCTCCTCCTTTCAGAAAGAAAAAACCCCAGGACACCTGGGTGGCTCAGTCGGTTAAGTGTCCAACTTTGGCCCAGGTCATGATCCCACACTTCGTGGGTTCGACTCCCGCGTCAGGCTCTGTGCTGACAGCTCGGAGTCTGGAGCCTGCTTCAGACTCTGTGTCTCCCTCTCTCTCTGCCCTGCCTCCACTCACACTCGGTCTCTGTCTCCCCAAAATAAGCATTTAAAAAAATTTTTTAAAAAGAAAGAACCCCTCCATCCACACACTCAAAATCAGAAACATAAGCTTCTCCACCAAGATGAAACTCCTGTTTTTATGGACCAAAATGATTTGCTGGTGGGACTTATTAGTGAAGACAAAGTTCCGGAGGCACCCGGGTGGCTTAGTCAGTTGAGCATCTGACTCTTGATTTCGGCTCAGGTCATGATCTCACAGCTCGTGGGTTCGAGACCCCGGGTAGAGCTCTGTGCTGACAGTGCAGAGCCCGCTTGGGATTCTCCTTCCCTCTCTCTCTGCTCCTCCCCTACTCATGCTCTCGCGCTCTCTCTCAAAATAAATAAATAATTAGATAAAATATCTGCAGATGGCTAGTTGCTACTCTAGTCAGCAGCGCAGAGCTAAAACGCTGAGATCCATAAAAGTAAGGATTTTGTCTGCTTCGTTCAGATTATGGCCACAGGACCTAGAACAGTGCCTGGTACTGAATGCATTGGCCCATACATATGCCTTTATTAAAAAAACCATGGTAACGAAACACATCATTACTGAAGAATTTAGGGCTCATAAGCAGGATCTTTCAAAACCTGGAGGCCATGTGACAAGGAGTCAAATATAAAAGGGTCTGTAAACCTAGACATTTGATTTACCCTCTCCCTTACCAGGTCAACCCCACCTCAGCTCCGCTCCCTCATCAGGCATCCACAAAGCCAGACCTCTCCTCACACAGAAGGCTCCCGACCCTTCCTTTGCCCTTTGCCTAGACCTGGACCATTCCACTAACCTCTCTCTCTGCCCCACCTCCGTCCAGCGGGATCCCCCATTTAAAGCCGACCCCACCTCTCCTTGAACCTTTTCCAGGACCCCGCCTGCTGGCATCTGGCCCCGCCCACAAACAAACTTCCCCCACCCTCAACCCCTTCCAGGTGGGCCCGCCTCCCGAGCCATTCAATTTCCGATGGCTCCGCCCACCAAGCTTTCCCCTGGCCCCTCCCCCTCGAGTGTCTACGACCACGCCCCCTCGAGGAAGCACCGCCCCTTCGGGCCTCTCCTCAAACTCAGTCCGGTCCTACGGACTCCTGCCCTCGTCTAGCCTGTACCTGGCCCTCTCTCTCCGGCGGACGCCCCCCGCCCCCTCAAGCGACCCGCTGCCGGCGCTCTCCCTTCCCTGCCACGCTCTCGGCCGCCTGAGCGTCCACCACGCCGGCTCCTCTGCAGCCGACCGACCCGGCGGAGCCGTGGGCCCCGAGCGAACGGCACGCGCTACGCCCCCCAGCCTCCCAGCCCCGCGTCGGCGTCCCCACTTGCCTCGCGCCGGCCCCGCGCGCCGCTGTCCTGCGCGTCACACCCGGAACCGTTCGGCGCTCGACTGCAGTCTTCAGTTGGCGCCACGGAATTCGCGCGCAGACTTGGGCGGGCGGGGGCGGGGCCTACAGCGTCCTCCCCGCCGCCGCTGCCGCCCGGGGGGCGCTGGGAGTTGTAGTCTCCCGGACCGGAGGCTCTTAGGAAAAGGGGTGAAGTGGGGTGAGCCCTCCCGCAGAGCACGATGGGAAACGGCCCGAGCTTTCCCTCGCTCCGAGTGGGCGGATGTAGCTGTGGGTCCGAGAAGTGACTGACGGGGAAAGGAGAGGCAGTGGAAGCCTCTGCGCGAGGCACGGCGGGAAGAGAGGCGGGAGGCCGCGCGAGGCATCCCGGGAGCAAGGGCCGGGCCTGGCTTCGGCGCGGAGCATTGTGGGAAGTGGACGCCGCTCCGGGGCGGGTAGGTGAGTGGGGAGGGGCTGGAAGGGTGCACATCTGGGGGAGGGGAGAGGCACAGCTGGGTGGGACAGCGGAGATGGGAGGGCCCGCGGCAGGAGGGGCTGGGAGGGCTTAGGGAGGCAGAAGCGGGCCGGGAGGGGCTGCATCAGGTGGGGAGGCGTCGCTGGACGTGGGGGGGGCATCTGGGGTGATGAAGCCCATCTGAAAACGAGAGGCCATGTCTAGGACCAGGATGCACATCTGGGGAGTAGCATCGCCGCAAATGGGAGGAGGGAGCCACAGCTGAACTTGGGGGAGCAGCTGGGCAAGGAGGGACCACAGACGAATATCAGTGACACTTCTTAGCATTGGCCACAAGTGAATGGGGCACACACCTGTGGGCGACAAGTACATACTGGATGTGGAGAGGACATCTGGATAGGGGAGCATCTCGGAGGCAGGGGCTGCGGCTGGATGTGGCGACCCATGGGGTCACATCTGGGAGAGGGCCAACGCATGTCGGAGAGGGAGGAGGGAGCCACAGGTGCCTGAAGACTATGACTGGGGTTGAGGGGCCCGTGACTGGATGTGGGAGCACATCTGGAGATGGACCATCTTTAGAAGGGGGCACAGATGGATGTGGGTTACGGCCAAGGGTAGACAGGTAGAAGGGGGCGTTTCATAAGAATGGGGGCGCTAGAGGCAGCGGCCAGGTGGAGGAGAGACATCAGCAGGGGGAGGGGGAGGTCTTAACTGGGAGTTAGGAACACATTTGAGGAGATGTCCACCACTGACCGAACTTAAGGGTCATATTTTGGGAGAGGGACCCCAGCTGTACCTCGGGGCACATCTACAGAGGAAGGGGCCAGAGCTGAAATTAGGGACCAGGATGACAGGCTCCAACTGTCCCAGGACCACTGCAGAGATGGGAGACAGCCAAAGACGGGGTGTAGATTCGTATATAAATATTAATGGAGGTGCATCCCGCCGTGGGCCCCACCTGGAAAGAGGCACCAGCACCAAAGAGGCAGGCGGAAAATGGAGGAAGTGGGATGCCCTGCTGGGGTTGGCTCTGATGTCTACGCGCCCCCTCTGCCACTCAGGCGCCCCAGGATGGAGTCCCCGCCCAGCACGGCAGGCCAGGAGGAGCAGGAGCTGCGGGAGCGGGCCTTCTTCTCGTGGGCTGAGTTCAGCCGCTTCTTCGACGCGTGGTGCCAGCAGCGCCTAGCGCTCTTCTTCGTCAAGAGCTCCATGCACCTGGCGCGCTGCCGCTGGGCCAGCGCGCCCCCGCTCTACACGCTCATCGACGTGCTCAAGTACAGCTACGTGCGGCTCGTGTGCAAGGACGTGCGCGCGCCCAGCCGGCCCACCGTGGGGTGCGTGAGCTGAGCCGCGCCGTGCTGGGGGTGGGGGTGGGGGACGGAGGGGAAGCAAGGGGGAGGAGTAGGCAGAGAGCCCCCGCTGAGAGAGACCGGGAGGGAGAGATGCCCACTAAAACAGCTAAATACACCTTGCAGAGAGGCCAAGAGTTAGGGAGAAAGGGAACCTGCCAGTCAGCTGGCAGAACAAAGGCACACACACTGAGTAACAGGGTAGGCTTCAATTACAGACTTATTAAAAAAAAAAAACAATTTTTTTAACATTTATTTATTTTTTTAAAAATATTTTTATTTATTTCTAGGAGAGAGAGAGAGAGAGAGATAGCATGAGCAGTGGAGGGTCAGAGAGAGAGGGAGACACAGACTCTGAAACAGGCTCCAGGCTCTGAGCTGGCAGTCAGCACAGAGCCCGACGCGGGGCTCGAACCCACGAACCGCGAGATCATGACCTAAGCGAAAGTCGGACGCTTAACCGACTAAGCCACCCAGGCGCCCCTAACATTTATTTATTTTTGAGAGACAGAGCACAAGCAGGGGAGGGGCAAAGAGAGAAAGAGACAGAATCCAAAGCAGGCTGCAGATGAGCCATCAGTACAGAGCCCCACGCAGGGCTCAAATTCAGGGACTGGGAGATCATGACCTGAGTCGATGTTGGCCATTTTAACCAAGTGAGCCACCCAGGCACCCCAAATTACAGACTTAAATTTTTTATTAATGTTTATTTATTTTTGAGAGAGAGAGAAGAAGAAGCAGGGGAAGGGCAGAGAGGGAGACACAGAATCTGAGCTGTCAGCATAGGGCCCCACACGGTGCTCAAACTCACACACCATGAGATCATGACCTGAGCTGAAGTCGGATGCTTAACCGAGTGAGCCACCCAGGTGCACCCCAAATTAGAGACTTTAATAGAGGCTTATAGAGAGGCAGGGAATGAGGTGGACACATTGAAGAAAGCCAAAAGAAAAGGAGGCACGGAGCCAGAAACACCAGACAGAACCAGAAAACCAGGTGGAGCCAGGTTTGGGACACATAGAAAGAGCACAGAGCCAGACTGAGCTGCAGGGAAAGCCACAGGACAGAGAGAGAAAGGTCCATCCATGCGTTCTGTAAATACAGGGCCAGGTCCCACACAGGGGCGAGCAATACCTCACTGGGGAGAGAAGGTGTTGAGCAGGACAGACACATTCCCTGCGCACATGGGACTTTGAGACAGGACAGGGAGACGGACACGTTATATGAACAAGTTCACAGTTTCCTACAAGTGTGATGCTTTCCGAAAGAGTCAGGAGACTCACCCAGGTGGCCCAGGGGGTTTTAATCGACCCCACTTCTAAATCAGAGCCTTCCCCATACAATGGTTGGTTTCCGGCTTTTCTGGAAACTTGGGAAGAGGCTGAGCCCACGTTCCTATGAGGCAGACGGCCACTCCAGTTAAACTGGGCGATGGTGCTGAGGTTTGCCCCAGACCCCACCGCTCCCCGTTGCCTCATACGTGGCCCCCACCGCTTGTGTGTTTTGCCTGCCTGGTAGATGCATGAGGTTGAGACCTCGGTTGGAGAGCCTTGGGCAAGAACGGGGCACTCAAAGACCGGCCCCGTGTTGCAGCGCTGTTGTGAGGTTATCATGAGCCCCAAATGGGGGAAGGCACTTACCCCCAGTGCCTAGAACGTGGGCGGCCAGGTGAACGACAGCTATTCTAGAAGTCAAAAGCACAGACTCTGAAGCTGGCAGCCTAGCCTGCACCTCCAGGCCTGCTGCAATTAGCCAGTGACACTGAGCAAGTGATGTCACCCGCCTGGGTCTTGGGTTTCCTGCCTTGGAAAGTGGAGGAAGTCATGGTATCGATTTCCCAGCTTTTGTGAGGATTAAATGAGCTAATACAGGCACATCGCTCGGAAGACGACATGAGCACCTTCTGACAGCGATTGGGGCCGTAGTTATTTAAACGTTTATCGGGAGTGTACTGTTCTTGGTAGTTTACTCACTGCCTATGGAGAAATAGAGACCCAGAGACCCGGGAGCAGTGCAGCGTCCAACACCCATCCTCACAGAGAAATCTAGAACGCTAGAGCTTAACGCCCAATCCCGGAATCTCTCTTCATTAACAGAACCCAGTTCCGAGTAACAAACGCTTATTGAGCACCAACTGTGTGCATGCTCTTTGCTGGGCCCTTGGAACCCAGAGCTGGCCTCTGTGCTTGAGCCGCTGAGCACCTGATGGAGGAGACAAAGACAAAAAAAAAAAAATTTGTTTTTAAGGGAAATAAAGGCCCACGGTTGTGAGAGAGAAGAAGTTGGGGGGGGCAGGAGGGGGGTAAAAGAGGAGTGGGCAGCTCCATCCGAGGGCTTACAGGGTGTTCCTGGAAGGCTTCCTGGGAGAGGTGACCAGTAAATGGAAACTCGAAGGGTTCTCTTCGTGTATACATTTATGGATGTAGGTATTTGACTTCAACACGCAGTGCTTGCTACGTGCAGGCACTGTCCCCAGTGCTCTGCAGGTATCAGAGGGGGACAGGAGGGCTGGGGATTGACAGGCTGGTGGTGCCCTTAACTGGGGAGACAGCCGGATGGTCCTGAGATAGGGATCCCAGGAGGAAGGGGAGGCTGGTGAGCCGGTTCAGGGATGATGACTGGGGACCCAAGGTTTCTGAGACCCTCTCTTCCCCCAGCTGCTCAGGCCGCACCTCTCCGGTGTCACAACCCAGGGACAGCCCATAGGCCAGGGTGCTGTAGGGGAAGTCTAGTGTGTGAGAAAGGGCAGCAGGTGTGGGTGGAGTGGTGTCACAGTCTTGACCCGCAGGGCTGAGTCCAGGGGCCAGGACTCATCTTGCGGGAGCCCTAGGAGGGCTGTGAGCAGGGGCTGCTCTGGATTCAGGATGATCCCTCCAGGGGCCATGCGGGGAAAGGGGGGGCACTGGAGGAGAGAGACCAGAGGCCAGTGAGGAGGCTGGGACTGAGGGTCCCGAGAACACACATCGGGACTTTCTCTCCCTGGTCACTCGTCCCCCTTTCCCAGTGGATGGTCAGAGAAGTCTTCCCGGAGGAGGGGACGCGGGGTCTGAGTCGTGAAGGATGAGTAGGAGCTAACTGGGTGCAAAGGAGGACGAAGAAAGAACTGAGTGGTCGGTGGCAGTGGGGGGTGGGCAAAAGTGGGTGGTTGGACAAGGTTAGAAGGCGCCACAGGCAGGACTGGGTGCTGGGTGGCTCGATGTGCGGAGCGGACTGCCTGGGTGCCCGGGGGCGGGGGGGGCTGTGTCCGTCCTTCCTCATGATACGTTTCCTGAGCACCTACCAGTGCTGAGAAGACAGCAGTGAGCCAGGCAGACCAAGATTCCTGCGCACTTGAACTTGCCAGTCAGAGGTGGGTGGCGTTTTTCCCCAGCCAGATGCCAAGTAAGGAAAGTGCAAAACTCAGTGTGTGGAGGCTGCAGTAGAGAGTCCGCTGAGGTCCTGGGACCCCCGAGGGGATGTGCTATTCTCGACCAAGAGGCACGGCTTCACCGAGGGGTGACCTCTCCCCCGAGCTAGGGCTCGTTCTCGGGGCTGCAACACTCGGGCCGAAAGAGGCCAGACCGGAGAGCGTCACGAAAGGCCCGTGAGTTATCCAGGGGAAACGTGTCAGGCAAAGAGCCCTGTGACCTTGCCATTTTGGTCCATCCAAATGGCTGCACGTCCAAAGTTTCCTTTAGCCCCTCCCAACGCCGCTGTGGTGGCTCTGCATTTGTGTCTTGTGTGTCATGATTTGTATACTTACCATTTTTCTAAATTTGCATTGTTTTTGTTGCTTTGAGACGAAGCGTCTCAAGGCTTTTTTGGTAGACTTTTAAAATCCAGCAGGCTCCCTGGATTTTATTTGACCTCCTGCAGAGAGGAGAAAAGGGACCTTTCAAAGATCCCCTTCCGGCTTAAATATCCATCCCGGTTCAAATATCCATCCCGGTTCGAGAAGGCTCACCCTCTCAGGGGCTGCTTGGAGACAACCTGGGGGCATTTTAGGGAGTGCGACTGGCAATGACTGCCTAGGAGTCAGGCTTCTTAGTCACTCGCCAAGCCCTGGAGAGCCTGTGTTACAAGGGCTGACAAACGGCAAGGCTGTTGGCTCCTCACTGCAGCTCTCTTTCATAAATAAAGTTTTATTGGAACACAGCGAGGCCCGTGCATTTACACAGGATCTATGGCCGTTTTCGCCATGTGGCCACAGAGTATATGTACTGACTGGCCTTTTGCAGAAAAAGCATGGCCAGTCCCTGCTCTACACCCCCTGCCCAAAATGCTGATAGCATCCTTCATGGAGAAACACGGAGCCTCATCAGGGAAGTACGCCCTGATTTTCTCCCCTGTTACGCTCTTTCATTTTTTTTTACAACGCTGCTTGTAACCCCCTAATCAATTTCAGCTACTGGGCCAGCCCTGCTGTCTGAGAACCGCTGTCCTAGACAGTCTCTTGTTCACACACAGACGGGTGGAGAGCTGGGTGTCATCAAAGCGTCCTTTGTAAGACGAGAGACCACATACAGCAGGCAGAGGGGCACCTGGCTGATCAGCTGGAAGAGCACGCGACTCTTGACCTCGGGGTTGTGAGTTCGAGCCCCACAGTGGGTGTTGAGATTATTTGAAAATAAAATCTAAAACACCACTCAGCACAGAGCTGGCAGAGCTGCGAGTGGACTATCGGGCAGCAAAAAGGAAGGACACGGTGTGGGGAAGGTGAGGAGTGAGAAATGCAAGTGGCAAGAGTCCATGTAGAATGTGACATTCAGGCTAGTTTCCTGTTGCTGCTGTGACAAGTTCTCACAGACTGCAGTGTCTTTAAAACAGTGCAGATCTGTGATTTTACAGCTTTGAGGGGCACACGGCCAGCACAGGTCTGCCTGCACTAAAAATCAAAGTGTCCAGATGCCCTGGTGGGGAATCTGTTTCCTTCCTTTTTCCAGCTTCTAGAAGCCCCCACGTTCCTGGGCTTGCAGCCTCTCCTGGGCTTGCTGCTCCTCCAGCAGCGAAGCATTTTCTCTCTCTCCCTCTCTCTCTCTCTGACTTGCCTCTCTTGCTTCTCTCTTCCCTTTACAAAGACTGTTGTGAGGACCCAGCACCCACCTGGGTAACCACATCTCAAGACTCCGAAAGCACATGCATCATACGTATGCAACTCGATGCATTTCCCCGAAATAAGACGCATATGTAACTAGTACCCAGGACAAGGGAGTGCACGTGTCCAGTGCCAGGAAGCCTCCCCATGCCCCTCTGACGGTTAAGGTGTGACCCTGATCTCTCTACAGCAGAGGCTAGCTTTCCTCTTGTAGAATTTTCTTTTTTTTAGTGTTTATTTACTTATTTACTTATTTTTGAGAGAGGAGAATGAGCAGGGAAGGGGCAGAGAGAGGGAGAGAGAAACAGAGGATCCGAAGCTGGCTCCGCGCTCTAACAGCAGAAGAAAGCCTGATGTGGGGCTTGAACTCACGAACCATGAGATCATGGCCTGAGCCAAAGTCAAGAGTCAGACGCCTCCCCGCCTGAGCCAGCCAGGTGCCCCTGAACTTCCGATAAACAGGATGAGGGGTGGTTTATCATCTCTCACGTCGGGCGTCTTTCATTACAGCGGGTTTGTGAGGTCCACCCACATTGCTGGGGACAGTAACGGTCTGTTCCTTCTTCCTGTTGGTCAGTGCCATGTTTGAGGAGTATATCCCTACTTGCCTTCCCACTCTACCGTTGGATATCGGGGTGTTGCCAATACTTGGCTGATGCGACTAGCGCTGCTGTGAACATTCTGGTACATTCTCTTGGCACCCGTCTTCAGGCTTGAGTGGAAATCCCGGGTCCCCAGAGGCACGTGATCACCGTTAGCAGATACTGTCACGCGGTGTTCCACAAGTGACTTCGATTTTCCACGCCCACGGATAAGTTCTCCCCCTCTGGTCTCTGCTCCCAGTGTATTTCAGCTGTCTGGCAGTGTGTAGAGGCATTTCCTGGGGGTTTGGTGTTTATTCCCTTGATGACTGATGGGCTGGAGCACCTTCTCGTGTAGACAAAATCTCAAAACCCAAGAACCCACCTCCCACTGCTTACAGGTCCCTAAAACATACACAGGAAGGTGAAATACCCACTTTGGGAGGTGGCTACTTTGGGGGGCAGAGGAGGGAGGGGACTTTTTTTGGGGGGACAGGGTGCACAGAGGTCCTCTCCTCGCGATGTTGCTATTGGGAAATGGATACAGCAGTCTCTGCAGTGTTTTATTTCTTAAAATTAAGATAAAGATGATAAACTAGTCGTTCACTTTGGATAGAGATGGAGCGGTAGGCATAGAGTTGCAGCCGACCCTGAGCGCACAGGCCATTAAGTGCTTTCCATACATCAACTCTTTCAATCCTCACAACAAGCCTAGGAGAAAGGTACGATGAAAGGTATCTCCCTTTCAACACAGGGGGAAACTGAGGCAGAGGCTTGAAGTGACTTGCCGCAGGTCACACAGCCGGCAGGATCCTAAGGCCCTCTCTCTTGTGTCTGCTGGAAACAATTCTTAATGTTAGGAAATAGTCACGGGCGCCTGAGCGGCTCCGGCGGTCAAGCGTCCGACCCTTGACTTACGCTCACCTCATGATCTCAGTCAGGGTTGTGAGATCGAGCCGAGCCCAGCGTGGGGCTCTGCACCAAGTGCGAGTGTGGGGCCTAAGAATCTCCCTCCGTCTCCCTTTACCCCTTCCCCGCTTGCATGCGCCCCCACGCGCACGCGCTCTCTCTCTCTCAAAAAAATTCTTTCTCAAAAAATAAAATTTAAAAAAGTATATAGAAAACGAATTTTAAAAGGGAGAGAGAGAGAGAGAGGAGGCCAAGGGCAGAGGGTGACGTGACCCGGCCGTCGGTCCTTCCTCCCGCAGGCCCCCCCAGCCCGGCTGCCCGGCCTTCATCATCGTCAAGCTGAGCCCGCTGCGGGACCGCCTGGTGGTGACGGAGTGCCAGCTGACCCACTCGCACCCGGCCTGCCCGCTGCAGTTCGCCTACTACTTCCGCCCGGGCCACCTGCTGGCCAACGCCTGCCTGCCCGTGCGCACCACCAACAAGATCTCCAAGCAGTTCGTGGCGCCGGCCGACGTGCGCCGCCTGCTCTCCTACTGCAAGGGCCGCGACCACGGCGTCCTGGACGCCCTGCACGTGCTCGAGGGGCTCTTCCGCACGGACCCCGAGGCCAAGGTGGGGTCTCGGGAGAGGCGGCCGGGGGCGGGGGAGCGCCACGCCCGAGACCCGCGGGGCACCCACTCACCCGTGCGCTCTCCCCGCGGTGCACTCCGTTCAGCCGTCGCTCCGCGCGGGTCATTGGCTGGGTGCTCACGCGGCGCTGGGGAGCTGTGTGCTGGGGGCTTCCGCACGGCCCCGGTGGGTAGCCCCTGGCCACGCGTGGCTCATGGAGCCCTTGCAGTGTGGCCGGTAGGACCGAGGACCTGAATTTTAAGGTGTATTTCTTTTTAACGCGTTGCGGTGGAGACAGCCACATCTGGCCCTCGCGCTGCCTTGCAGAGGAATCGGCCAGAAGTCCCTGGCCACCCACAGGCACACGCAAAGGTGATCAAATGTCAGCGGGGTCGGGAGACGAGGACTCAGAGCGGCAGGAAGCGCCCTTTAAAAGACCACATTTTTAAACCCTGGAGGACACGGGTAGAAAGTGCACAGATGAGATGTAGTCCGATGGATGCCGGCAGGGTGGAAACGGCCCTTCCCCACCCCCCAGAGCAAGGCTCGGAAGGGAGGGGGGCTTCGTCACCCAAGGTGACAGAGGGAGGTGACAGTGAGGAGAAGAGCAGCAGGTGAGGGCATGGAGAGGGACGGTTAGTGGTAAGGGTGCTATGTTCGTTTGAGTGGTCGCAGAAGGTCTCTTTAAGGAAATGCTGGTGAAACAGAGGAGGCAACCGAGGCAGGGGACCCCCCCATTCTGTCCTCAGAGGGAGGGGAGTTCCAGGCAGAAGGAATAGCCAATGTAAAGGTTCAGAGGCTGGAGCATTCAAGCTGTTTGTCCAAGAGAAATCTTTCTGCGGCTTTCATCCAACTTCAGAGCTGAGGTGGAGGTGGCCGGAGGGAGGAAGGGGGGTGGAGGAAAACTAGGTGCCCCCCCCCCAGCTGTTCTTTGCTCTTGTGCATGGAAGAGGTCCCAAGTCAGGGGCACCTGGGCGGCTCAGTCAGCTAAGCGTCTGACTCTTGATCTCCGGTTAGGTCATAAGCTCACGAAGCGTGAGATGGAGCCCTGAATGGGGCTGTGCGCTGACAGTGCAGAGCCTGCTTGGGATTCTCTCTCCCTCTCTCTCTGCCCCTCCCCTGCTTGTGCGCGAGTGCATGCGCGCCCTCTCTCTCTGTCTCTCAAAATAAATAAATAAACTTAAAAAAAAAAGTCCCAACTCAGGGTAGCGACAAGGTGTGAATCCACTCTCCAGAAGCAGGTCCAGAGCACTCCCCTCATCTCCATCTCCTGTTCTGGAACCAGCCACAGCTCAAGCCACGAACCCAAACCAAGCGCCCTACGCACACATAATACTGGTGATAATTTTTAGTTGACATTTGTCAAGCACTCGATTGTGTGCTAAGCGCGACTTTGAAGTGCTTTACGCATTATAATTCATTGAAATCTCACCAGAGTGTGTTGAGGAAGGAGTTCACCATTCTTACCTCCATTTCACGGACAAGGAAACCGAAGCACGGAGAGGTCAAGTAACTGGCCCAAGGCCACACAGCTACTTAATGATGGAGCTGGACTTGAGACCGACACAGTCTGGGATCCAGGGAGGTGCTCTTCACTGCTCGGCTATTCCCCAGTTTGGAAATGAGTCTTAGGCCCCTTCCCCTCAGTTCTAGCCTCCGGAGAGTTGAGGGTCACACCCGAGTCAGTTTGCTGCTCTGTAAAATGGGGATACACCCATGCGCTCCCCACTACACTGGTCTCCGCTGAGCTTTTCTGTTCTCCGCTGTCCTTTATCAAATAAATCAGCCTCGGCTGCCTTCCAGGCAACACCTGGGCTGGGTAGGGCCGCCTCCATGAGAAGCAGCTCACAGAAAACCTTCACGGTCAAGGGATTGTCCCTTTAACCTCCAGTTTGGAAGCTGCCTTCCACCCCCGCTAAACCAAGGTCGGCTCCTGAGTCTGGTTTGGTCCACCTTGATACTTCTATTTTTTATTACCTTTTTAAAGTTTATTGAGAGAGAAAGGGAGAGAGAGAGAACGAGCAGGGGAGGGGCAGAGAGAGAGAGGGACAGAGGATCTGAAGCGGGCTCCATGCAGACAGCAGAAAGTCCGATGAAGGGCTCGAACCCGCAAACCACGAGATCATGACCTGAGCCAAAACCGGGGGTCCGATGCTAACCCACTGAGCCACCCAGGCGACCCCCCCCTTAATACTTATAAAAGCAATGAGGAAGACATTTTGAAACACCAAGACACAGTAATGAATGGATCATTCCTTTCTTTTAATTTTAATGTTATTTATTTTTGACAGAGAGAGAGCGAGCAGGGGAGGGGCAGAAAGAGAGGGAGACGCCGAATCTGAAGCAGGCTCCAGGCTCTAAGCTGTCAGCACAGAGCCCGACGTGGGGCTTGAACCCACGAGATCATGAGCTGAGGCCAAGTCAGATGCTTTAACTGACTCAGTCACCCAGGCGCCCCCATTCCTTTTTTTTTTTAACCTTTACGTATTGACTTTTTGAATATAAAACACATTCACATGCTTCTAAATTCAAAAGATACAAAAGAGCATGTGGTGAAAAGTCCCCTTTGTTAACTCCTGTCCCCTTGTCACCTCCTTGCCCTCCTCAGAGGCCACCAGGGTATCCGTTGTTTGTACAGCTGATATCCATTTGTATTGTGTGGCTCGGCGCCACCCAGTGGGACTTTGTATGATGACAGAAGTGATCTGTGTCTGTGCCATGACCTGACCTGTGGCACATTTGGCTCTTAAGCACTTGCAGTGTGGCTAGTATAACTGAGGAACTGAATTTTTAATTTAACTTAATTAACTGCAATTTAAACACCTCCATATGGCTAGTGGCTGGCCCCACGTTGACCAACACAACCCTAGAAGCACACAGATAAATTTGTGTATTTAATTTTTTATTATTTTTAATGTTTATTCATCTTTGAGAGAGAAAGAGAGAGCGAGAGCAAGAGAGGGTCAGAGAGAGAGGGAGGCACAGAATCCAAAGTAGGGCTCTAGGCTCCGAGCTGTCAGCACAGAGCCCGACGCGGGGCTCGAACCCATGTGAGATCATGACCTGAGCCGAAGTCTGACTCTCAACTGCCTGAGCCCCCAGGCACCCCTGTGTCTTTACTTCTAAGTTTATTTCCACTTTCTCCCCTCCCCAGCAGGGTAGCATATGTTTTTTTAAGTCTTTCTTTTTTAAAAGTGAAGAGGTTTTTTTTTTAATGCTTATTTATTTTGGGAGACAGAGAGCATGCATGCACTTGCGAGGGGCAGAGAGAGAGGAGAGAATCCCAAGCAGGCTCCAGGCTGTCATCACAGAGCCCAACGTGGGGCTTGATCCACAAAACCATGAGATCCTGACCTGAGCTGAAATCAAGAGTCAGTTGCTTAACGGACTGAGCCCCCCGGAGCCCCAAGATAGCGTATCGCATATGCCTTTTTTGCATCTTGCTTGAGACGCTGGGTGTTGGAAATTGCCAGATATCAGCATCTTTCATTCCTCTGGGGCTGGTCAAATCCCCCTGAGAAAAGTCTCTTCTTGCCCGGAGGGTGGGGGGAGGACGAGTAGAGGAGGAGGGAGGGGAGGATGAGTAAAGAAGGGGGGTGGAGGGACGGGTAAAGGCCAGGCTGCGAACTTCCAGGAGCCACAGAGCGGGGACAAGGGCTGAGGAGCTGGCTTCGGGTCAGCAACGTGGACGGATGCCCGGTCCCTCATCAGAGGGGCCTGTAGTCCCCAAGGCCAGGGCTCCTTTCTGTTCTACCCTCTTCGCGGAATAAACCTCCAGCCACCTGGGGGTGAGCAGACACTTGACCTTGAGAGGTCTAACTGCTTCTCAAACACCCATCATGTCTTTTCTAGCCGCCCCCCCCAGCTCTGCCCAGTGCCGCCAATTCCTTTGCAAGATGCTGCTGTTAGTCTTTTCGCATTTTCCAGTTGCTGGTTCAGGAATCACAGGGTTTGGGGTTCGGGCTTTATTTTGCGGGGAGTGGGGAAGCCATCGCCTTGTCCCTCTGTTTTCCGGCTTCCTGAGTTTGGCTCCTGTCGTTTCCTTTTCTATCGCTCTTGTCTTTTCTTTTTTTCAAAAAAAAAACAAAAAACCTTTTCTATAGAAACCTCTACTTGGGGTTCAGGGAAGACAGAGGAGTCAGGCCCACGTGCCACCTTTACGTGAAAGGTTCACCCGGTTCTTTTGGTTCTTTTCCGTGAGGAGATAAAGCTGAACGAGTTCTGAATCATTAATATGTTAAGATAGTAAACAGCCTGGGGGCGAGTTCTGAATCATTAATATGTTAAGATAGTAAACAGCCTGGGGGCCTCAGTTGTTAAGCGTCCGACTTGGGCTCAGATCATGATCTCACAGTTTGTGAGTTTGAGTCCCACATTGGGTGAGCCTGAGCCCCGCTTCTCTCTCTCTCTCTCTCTCTCTCTCTCTCTCTCTCTCTCTCTCTCTCCCCCTCCTGGGATTCTCCCTCTTTCTTTTTCTCTCTCTGCTCCTCTAGGATTCTTCCTCTCTTTCTCTTTGTCTCTGTCTCTCTCTGTCTCTCTCTCTCAAAAAAAAAAAAAGGTAATAAACAGTTCTTTATCTGGTCCCAGCACAGGCTAAGCAACAGTCAGGTATTATTCTCTCTGCCTCCCAGCAGGCTCCTGTAGAAGGGACTACTTTTGTAGTTTGTTTTTGTTTTGTTTTGTTTGTTTGTTTGGAGGGATCCCTTTGCAAGCCAAAAGACTAGGACCCCCTGAATGGCTGTGGCCTTCTTGGTCTGGGGAGGAGATCAGACAAGAGTAGTGTACCCAAAAGCCCCTGGCACGGTTTGTGGGCAGGACTGAGTAGCCGCTTCATCCGGGGAGGGGTTAAGACCTTTTATAATCTGCCCTCAAGGCAGTGATGATGGACTGAGATGTTCCGTTCTGTCACGTCCCCATTAACTCATTTGTGGCAGGCTCTAGGCTTTCTGGGCGGAGAAGGACCTTGCACAGAAATGTCGTGTCTTCTCTCTCAGTACGTAACG